GACTCCTCGCGGCGCCCGCGCGTCGCCCGTTCTCGCCCGGCGCAGCAGCAGCAGCAGCAGCAGCAGCGGCGCGTCCCGGCCTCCATCGAGCTCCCAGCTGCTCAGCGCGACCCCGGCGCCGCCACGATGTCTCTCTCCAACAAGCTCACGCTGGACAAGGTGGACGTGAAGGGCAAGCGCGTGGTGATGAGGTGAGGGCCGCGCTCGCCGGCCGTTGGCGCCCGGGCCGCGCGGGGGCCGTTGGGCTCGGCCGGCATTTTCCCCGACGGGCGCGGGTTCGCCGGCGCGTGCAGGGCGCGGGCGGGGGGAGATCGGTCCCGAGAGAGGCGCCTGTCACGTGTGGAGCGGACGCCGCGGGCATGGCGGGGGCGGGGGCGGTTCTTCTGGGGGGCGAGCGGGGCACGTGCGGCGCGGGGCGCCTGATCCCGGCTTCCGGCGTGGCGCTGCGTCCCGTGCGCACGAGCCCGCCCGCCGTCTGCGAACGCGGCTTCGGGCTCCGTTTCCCCCTGGACGCGGCCTGCGGCTGTTTCGGGAACAAACCAGCCCCGCGGGCTGCTGGAAAGGGGCGGCGGGGGCGGGAAAGAGCGGGACTGCCAAAAGCGCCTCGCGATGGGAAGGGTAACCGGACGCACGTTTCCTTTTGGTTGTCCTGCGAGGGAAAAAGGCACGGGGAGCCGTAAAAGCGCGAGCCCCGCAGGCTGCAGGAGTCAAAACGGCATTTCTTTCCTCATACGTATACATGGCTTTGCACGAAATGAATGGAATCAAAACGGCATTGCTTTCCCCATACGTATACATGGCATTGCACGAGATGAATGGAAGCCGGGGTACATGACCATACCCTGTAACCTATCCCTCGTCATACAAATTCCATGCGCTGCTGCAGCTGATATTACTGCTGTGTCCCTCCCAGCAAGCAGATTCTGGGCCTTGCCCTGATTACATATCCAGCCCAGAAAAGGAGAGAGAATTGCTGGATCTCTCTTAACTGTAAATCTTCTTGAGCTTTGTGCAGTCAATGAATAACACAAAAATTTTGATCATCTTTTTTGGAAGATGTAAATTGCATTAAAGAAAATATAGTTTCTTTTTGCATCAGTCATCCAGTAACAATAGGTCTATGTGTTTGAGAGTTACAGAATGAAAAAGCCATTTTAATACAGATGAAGAGGCAAATATCAGTTTCTAAGGATTTAAAGATTTCAGAAAGCCTAAATACATACCACCCTCAACTTTTTTTAAAAAAAGCCTTTGCGTGGGACCTAGATTGGGGGCGGGGGGCATTTGGAGAAAGGCCTAATATCAGTGCTTGTTTGCAGTAGTAGTTGAAATTTCATGTTCACCATGCCAGCACCTATAAATATGTGTGTTGCTTAGTCCAGACGAGCCCATTTCAATAGGCTTTGGTCAACTGATTCCAAGTGTGTCTTTTCAGAAGAAAATGCCATTTGAGTTCTCTGGGGCTTATTTCTATGTGTGCATGCATTGTGTAGTTTAAACTAATCTTTCATGCAAATAGTTGAATAGAAGAGTATCTTGCTTTTAAGGAAACCTGCTACTCTGAATTTAAGCAACCAGTTTTTAGAAGGTATCCTTACCCAAACTGGAGGTGTGGAGAAGATAGATCGGAACACCTGCAATTAAAATATTCTAACTGCCCTTAGAAAATACCTGCCCTTGAAATTTCTTTTTGAAACTTGCCCTGCTTATATTGCATGTGGATGAGCATTTACTGTGCTTGAATCAATGTGATACCTAATAAAGTTTTAAAAAGGCTATCTCAAGGTCCTTGAAGGTCGGCAGGGGCACTTCATTCATATTTCAGATACCTCTTTCTGTCTGGAATAATGACTACAGATTTGTTTTTGCTTTAAACTGTTGTGCAAGTTTCTGCAGTATGTTTTCACTTTCCTGTCCCTACTTATGCATATTATGAACAAGATTCTTGTTTTTACGTTGAAAGAGATGGCCGTCTCTTTCCTGCTTGACTTCTTTCACTTTTTTCTGTACGTGCGCTTCTCCCGCGCATGTACAGAATGAAATCCTGTATTTCTAACGCACAGTTTTGAAAGCACAGTGAGCAGCGGCAATCTGTAATAACCCAGGCCAGACTGTGCGGGCTTCCTTCTGGAACTGGCTTGCGTAGCCAGGTGTTCTCAGTGCCGCCTTGTAAATAAACGAACATTTCAATTCAAGCCTCGGCAGGACTAGCTGAAGAGCCAGACGTCTGTTGCTTCTGCGTTTCTGTCCTGGGCAGGGAGGGAGCCAGGAGTACGTGCTTATGCAACTGATGTGCAAGCCACCTGCCTGGCAGAGGCTACATCACTGCTCCTTTCATGTGCCCTTCGTAGTCATAATGATGGTTGCCAAGCTGGAACCAAGGCAAGGTCCTGCTACTGTCAAAAGCCTGACTCTTCCATCTATTTGCAGGCACATAATAGGGTGGCTAAGGCTGCAGTCCTGTCTGTGTTCAGGCAGAATCAGCCAACCATGCTGGGAATTGTAGAACCTTTTTCTGCTGAAATCTATATAAGATGAGACCTTAGGGATTTTAGCAGAGCTTACTTCTCTCATTTGAAGCCTTAGGCAGAGGTGTTCATTTCCTGGCTCTCTTAATTCCTTAAAAAGGTAGTTTTGTTACTTATAACATTCTCTGATCTGCTATGCTGCCTCTTGCTGTATTGCACAATATAATTTCCTTTCTCTCTCAGCTTTGAGGCAGGAGAGCGCTTTGTAGAAAGGCTTGTGAAGCGCCTCCTACCCTGTGGTCCGGCATGTTACAGGATGCCAACATTTCTGCTGAGTAATTGTGAGATGAGAGCTTGAGTCCACCATTGAGTTAAAATTGTGCTTCATATTGTACTGGCAGAGTGTGGCAAATTTGCAAATACTGTAACTTACTGTAAACCTTACTATGAACAACTAAAGTCATCTTAATGAATTTACACGCCTCATTGTTTAGTTTAGTTTATTATTAACTTATTATTCACCCCTAAGCAGATAAAGGCCTGTGGGACCAGGGATAACACTGGTGGCATCAACTCCCAACAGGAAATCTAGCTGACTTAGTTTTATTCATGAGTGTTCAAGTTATCCCCAAATCCTTCTATACCCATCTCCACTTCAGTAGAGCTTTGATGCATTCCATTATTCATTATCTGTGTGCTTGTCTTTAATTATGACTTTTGATATCATTTATTAAGTTCATTTTTTAAATTGTGTATTGAAACTTTCCCCTCATTTTTTAGGGTTGATTTCAATGTACCAATGAAAAACAACAGTATAACCAACAACCAAAGGTAAGGCTCGTCTTTCAGCTCCATGGAGATGTGATTGGTGTGCTTGCTTTTTTCCGTGGCACTGAAGCTCAGTCTGCTTGTATGAGATTTCAGGGGTGATCCTTGGCTCTTCCGGGTAAAACTTGGAGATAGCAAAGTCAGGAAAACATTCCCGACGCATCTCTTGTGGCAAATTGGACAGGGACCTTGTAGTCAGGGTTAACTGTGAGCCAGGTCAGCTCTTAGGTTCAGCTCTTAACACTGATATTCTATACACCAAACAAGCAAATTGTTGCAAGAATAGTTTATCTGTGCAGGATTATCAGAACGTCTGTAAACAAATGTATCAATGGAATGACAGTGTCTAAAGCATTTTGGATTGGATGTGTTAGTGCTGAGGAGAGGCGGATGGGTAGAGGGTATTTCTGTGTTGGTGAACTAACTGTAAGGAGTCTACAGTCAGACTGCTCACCTCCCAATTCTTTAATATATACTCTTGATTCCATAACCAATACCTAATCTTTTTGATGCTTCAGCCTTATTGCACCGATATTTAATTTTGGTGCAGCCCGGTGTGTTTGGAAGACCCTTCTGTTCACAGCTGAATTAATACTTCCAGTTTCATGTTCTGATGCTTGTTGCAGAATCAAGGCAGCTGTCCCAAGCATAAAGCATTGCTTGGACCATGAGGCCAAGTCTGTGGTACTGATGAGTCACCTTGGCCGACCTGATGGAGTTCCTATGCCAGACAAATACTCTCTGGAACCAGTGGCAGCAGAACTCAAAACACTGCTAGGCAGGTAGGTCATTGTGATTGTCGAGCACGGGCAGCAGTTGCTGTGAAATAGCATTTCCATTGGTGAACTGCAACTGTTCAACTTGGACTGTTTGTAGGGATGTCTTGTTCCTGAAGGACTGCGTGGGTCCGGAGGTGGAAAAGGCTTGTGCTAGCCCAGCAGCTGGCTCAGTTATTCTCTTGGAAAATCTCCGGTTCCATGTAGAAGAGGAAGGAAAGGGAAAGGATGCCTCAGGGAACAAGGTGAGGCATCTGCCTTGAATTTCACTCTCCCTATCACATCTTCTGCCTTTACGAAACCCATTGGCTCCATGCCAGTTAATCATGAGGATCATAAGAATAAAGGTAAATGTGAAAATCTGAACAGATTAAAGTTCTCTGATCCTGCTAGAAGTATAATTAATAAACAGTTCAGTGCAGAATGGGAGGAACAGCTAACCCATATAGAGAATATTTAATACAGTATTAAAGCAGCCCCATTTTTAGTTGTTTCCCCAGAACAAGGCTAGTGGAAGAGAAAGGTCCACATCGCTCCTGAGCATCGGAGGCTGCACTTCCCTAGCCGCTTTACTAACTTTGGGGCCGGGGAAGTGGTGGGGAGCTCTGCGTAGCAACTCGAGCAATCTTGCCCGCTTCCACAATTTCAGAGTTAGGTGGAAGACTTGCTGCCGCTCCTGAACAGGAGGAGAAACGGCTGCTGGCCTTGACAGCATCGCACCGTCCGTGGCAAGCACAAGACCGTGTTTGTGAAGCCTTGCTCTGACATTTGGACTGTCCCTTCACTTCTGGGATGATTCTCCCTGACACTTTCCAACTGGCAAGGTTCCGTCTATAGACTGCGAAGGATAGACATTTGAGTGCAGGTGCCACAAATTTTCAGGCAGCCCTCTGGTGTTCATGCCATCTTGCACCTTTGACATTTTCTTGAAGGTCACCAAGAGTGCTTGGTCCCAGTGTGTTTCTTTTCTTAGCATCTCTGACCCCGCCGAGCCTCAGGCTTGGCTCCCTTTGAGGCCACAGAATGCTGATATACAGTATGATGCCCTTTCACAAGTTGATACAGATCACCATACAGTGCTCTAAAAGGACACGCAAGTGCACTTCTTGCGACTGGATATTTCAGCTCAGGGGTTTCACCTGGAACCACAGTCCATAATCTTTTAGTCCTCGTTTTCATTCAAAGAGGGATAAATAGCTTGCATTCAGTTGAAACAGTTGCTCATTTGTACCTTAGTACCCTGGTTGGCCCCTCCCATATTTTGATGAGCAGTACCATGTGTGTTTCCCACATTTTCCTAAGTGTGATGTCTCACAGTCGGCTTTTCCGAACCCCTGGATTCCAGTCCTCATTGACTGGAATGGCCAGGCTGCTAGAAATAATATACGAATGTTAATTCTATAACCTGCATTTAATTAGCTGATAAGCCAGATTGCTGCATGGAGGGTGGAAACGAGGAGTCCAAAAGCACCCACCTTGGCTTGAGTTTAGCATACTGCTTTAGAGCAGCAAAAGGAAGGAGAGCTGGCTTCTCAGGCCTGAAGTGATGGGGGCTGCTCAGAAGCTAATGACTAAATGTAAGTGTATCTGGCTGCTCTGTTTAAAGTCAGGAACGCATGACGGGAAATAGCTCCACAGTTCTTAAAACAGACATTTTCCCTACTTCAGCACTTCTTGCACTGTGACAGAGACGCTTCAGCTGATTATATACAGCTGGTCACCTGAGAGAACTAAGAAGCAATTGATAGTGTTAGTCTAAACCAATAATAATAGGAAAGGCGATTTGCTTTTCTCCAGATTAGAAGAATGCAGCAGGTCTGTGCTGCGTTGCAAACTTGTGTATGGCATGGTGGTGGTGGTGGTGTTTTTTTTTAAGCTAGGTTGTATCACCCCAACTTGTATGCATTTGCTCCTTTGGCAGAGCTCTCCCCTTCTCCCAAGTTCGAGGCAAAGAATTCTTTAATATTCCTGCCACAGTGTTGGCAAAATGGGCTTCTTCCAGCCAAATGTATCTTGCTCTTTGCAGTGGGCCTAAAGAGCCCTTTGCCAAGGGAGAGTTGATGTTTTCAGATTTTCAGACTTTGATCAGTTCAAAATGCAGGTCCTGATTTTGAAAAGTAGATAAAGCTGCAGAATAAGGCCATGTTTACTCTGTTGATATTAATTATTAACAAACCACTCTGCCCTTTCTGGGCATGGAAAAGGAGCGGTCACACCTTTCTTTTGAATGGTTTTTATACCGAACATCAGAATAGGGACCACCACTTCCCTTCCCAGAATGACTTTGTTTAGCAGGAAATAATTCCCGTCTCCCGTAACTTTACGGATGCTCTTGACTTCATGCATGTTAACATAGTCTAGAAACATTCATTTTAGTCAGTTGCAAGTGCAACCAGAACCATGTAAAAGAATGCCTTTTAATGCTGGATGCATCTACTGTGGTGCTGGCGATTCCTGTGGGGAGGGTGTTATTTTTTTCTTGGAAATGCTCTTTGCTTTCAAAAGTTCTGTTCACGCAGAGCTTGATCTCATTACTGCCAATGCTTATAAGAAAGTAAAAGACATTATTCTCTCTTGCTCTCCTCAGATCAAGGCAGATTCTGCAAAGGTGGATGCTTTCAGAGCATCACTTTCTAAATTGGGTGATGTCTACATCAATGATGCCTTTGGGACGGCACACAGAGCTCACAGGTGGGTAGTGTTCTCGCATGATTAGGACTGGCCTGTCTGCTTCCAGGTTAACTTTGGGACAGCCGGTTCGGTCTTACATGCACAATTGCTGACAAGCATTCCTTTTGGGATTAATTTAATAGAGTTGTATTTTCTTTCATTTTTCATATCCCTTCATCAAATTTTAACCAGTGGTAGAAACGGGTTTTCCATATCTAATTGCCTTTGAAAAGTTCTGTGCAGAATAATCTGCATGTTGCTAGAATGTCAAATCGGAAAGACAGGTATGAACTTCAGCAATTTTGTGACTATTGTGCAGTCGTGCCTTTAGTGCTATTAGTTGTAAACATTGAGGTCGTTCTCCCTGGGATCAGAGGAACAAGTTTGGGGTTGCAGTTAACTGATACCTTTCCCCCTCTCAACGCAACAGCTCCATGGTAGGTGTTAACCTACCTCAGAAAGCGGCTGGCTTCCTGATGAAGAAAGAACTGGACTATTTTGCCAAAGCTTTAGAGAATCCAGTGCGTCCCTTCTTGGCCATACTAGGAGGGTAAGAATCAAATTATGTTTCTCTTTCAGTATGTATAACTTTATTTTAAAACTTATTTGAACTGATAACTAATGAAATGATAGAAATTGCAAGAGTCTACTGTCTGTGGGCAGATAGTTGAGACATCTGCATCTCAAAACTACCAGCTTCAGAGGCTGTGATGGTTTTAAAAAGCTTGGAACAGTCTGGTCGGGGTATACTGTGAGGGGCTTAGAGCAGGCGGTATAGTGTGTGGTGTCTGACCTTTGCATCCGAGTACGAACTTAGTTGCGACTCAGCACTTCTGTTTGTAACTGAGCCAGCCTGCCTGCCTGCCTGCCAGTGTGCATAGAGCTGGATACATTTTGGCTCCTGCAGCCTCCAGACTGTAGTGAAAGGTGCAGCGGAGCCCCGTCTCGGTTCACGGGTGCCGGAGGTCTTGCTGGACAATGGCGGCCTTCCCGGGTGTATTCGTGAACCTTAAAGGACTCTCACTGAACTTATGGCCAGTGTTGCCAGAGATGTCCTCTGATACCGAGAATAACATGACTGCAAATTCAGGAAGTGTGTTTCGCTCTTCTTTATTGTCCAGGACTAGAAGTAAATTCTAAAAATGCTTCAAGATAGCATGTGGGGTTTTTTTAATTGATAGTGCTGCCGCCTTGCAGCCTTCCTTCTCATGTTTGTGTGAAGCAGTGTAGATCATAGTGGAAGGATGGCAACTCAGCCACTGTAAAATGTCAGGAAGTGTTAAAACTCAGCTGATGACATCCCGAGTGGTGATACGGCCCTCTTCTCCTCCTCCCCATTTACTAGAGCTAAAGTTCAAGATAAAATCCAGCTGATCAACAATCTGCTGGATAAAGTCAATGAGATGATCATCGGTGGCGGGATGGCGTTCACCTTCCTCAAAGTGCTGAACAACATGGAGGTATGGAGCTTGCACCCTCTGGCTTTCTTTGGGTGATGGAGAGGCGTGTATGAGACGCCGTACGTGCAGGCAGAGAACCTTTGCTTCTCCAAATAGGGCTGGGCATCAACTCTCATCATCCCCAGCCAGCGTGTGGGGTGGTCATTGGAGTCTGGCAATATCCATAGGGACGAAGGTTTCCCAATCCAGTTTTCCATATACTGGCTGCTGCCTTCTTAACTGAGCAGTTTATATTACGTGTTTGGGTATTTACAATCTGCAGAATAAGACCAGCTTCCTGCCTGTCTTGCCCTGGTGCAAGTTCAGGAATGGAGGGCTGGATTTTACCTTCATGGCTAAGCTACTAGCAAGACCTCTAGACGTTTATTGGCGCCGATATAAAACTTTAGAAGTCATGCTGGAAAAAACCCCTGCAAGCTCATGGTGCTCCTTCTGACCATACATCGTTCGGTAAGAGAGAGAGGAGCTTTGCAGAGGTCTTGCTCCGTAGGTGCTAATGTGTGTTAACAAAACCTGCGTAAGCAAGTATTGAGCCAAAGAGCCACAGAGATGGGTGCCTGCAGGCAGCAGTGGCGAGCAGCAGGTGGCCCCCACAGGGGCAAGTGGCGAGCCACAAAATAGACTCCAGAGCCACGTGCGGTTCCCAGGCCTTGGTTTGGCCACCCCTGCTATATAAAGCGTCGTCCTTCACTTTCAGATTGGCAATTCTTTGTTTGATGAAGAAGGATCGAAAATAGTCAAGGACCTGATGGCCAAGGCTGAGAAGAACAATGTGAAGATCACTCTGCCTGTTGACTTCGTCACTGCAGATAAATTTGATGAGAATGCAAACACTGGACAAGCCACGATTGCCTCGGGCATCCCTGCTGGATGGATGGTGGGTTTGACAACGGATGGGAGGCGCTGGACAGAGGAGAAGCCACAAGGCTCCTTCCTGTTCTGCACTTCCGGTACCCGAAATGGCTGAGCGACATGTTTTGCTTTTTCCTGATCTTAGGGTTTGGACTGTGGTCCTGAGAGCGTCAAGAAGTTTGTTGAAGTTGTGGGAAGAGCCAAGCTCATTGTGTGGAATGGCCCAGTTGGTGTGTTTGAGTGGGACAAGTTTGCCAAAGGAACCAAAGCCTTGATGGATAGCGTAGTGGGAGCGACCGGCAAAGGCACGATCAGCATCATTGGTAAGAGTGGAGTGGCTCCTCTTCCTTCCCATCAGCGGTGCTAATGAGTAGGTTTCCGGGTGGCTGGAAGCTGGCTGCTTTTCCTGCGTAAGGAGGAAACTTCCTGTTCCAAGTCAGACAATTGCTCCATTGAGCTCAGTCACGTCCCCCCACGCTGCCCAACGGTGGCTCTCCAGGGATGCTTTGAGCCCTGCCTAGCACCGCTGCTTGAGCCTTTGAGCTCTGTGCAAAATGTGCTGTTCCCACTGAGTGGTCCTTTGCACACCCTCTGAAGTCTCTGCTCCATTTTGCTGAACAGGTGGTGGAGACACGGCCACGTGCTGTGCCAAGTGGAACACCGAAGACAAAGTGAGCCACGTCAGCACTGGAGGGGGTGCCAGCTTGGAACTCCTAGAAGGTAGCGTTCCGTTTCTTTTCCTTTTTGGCTCCTTGGAAATGGCATTAACGTGAGAACTTGTTCGTGTCTTACCTTGCCTCCCGTGACTGTTGGCAGGTGTTCAAAGAGTCACACAAATACTTTAAACTATGAATGGGCTTAGAATGACTGTAACTGCAGCGCCCGTGTCACCGATCCAGTCTTGCATCCGCAAAGACTTCATTTTTAAGCAGTGCCACCCCTGCCCCATCCCATATCCTCCAATGTCCCTAAAGGTGGAGACATGCCAGGATGACCCTTCCTGCCACCTCCTTTCCTGCCAGCTTGGCAAGGTTTTGTTGCCCAACCACGCTAGGACAGAAGGCATGCGGGGATGACTCCCTGTATATGCTTCTTTGCTGCACAGCAGGGCTCTCCACAGCTCGTCCAGAGTGGGAAAGCGACTCTGCCCACCTGGAAGGACACACGCTAAAGCCTTGGCCTTTTCTTGGAGGTTGCATCAGGACGCTGGGGGCCAGGGACTGGGGAAAGTGTATTGAGTGCTTGCGTGTGCGCCCCAGCCAGCAGTGTGTGTGGCCTTTGGGAGCAAAAGGTGGCTTACCTCTGCCTCACTGGTACAGCTTTGCAGGAATGGCTTTTGGTTTCCTTTGGGAGAGCTCTTTCCCAGTGTGCGAACGTTTCCCTGTCACTGCTGCCTTCGCCTGCTCTCTGACAAAGAGGCTGCACCGAACTAGTTGCACACTGGACAGGGCCTTTGTCTCTGTTGCCTAGGAAGTCACCGCAGAAGGAAAGCATGCAAACCAGTGGAAGGAGGCATGTGATGGTGGAGGCACAGTCTCTCAGCCCTCCACTTACTTTGCACCCAAAATGTGGGTCATCCTACATAACACTACACTCTTTTCGATAAAACCCCCACAAAGCTGTTTTGCTGCTACCCCTTTTGCCTGTGGACTTTTGAATTATTGTTTAGATTTAAAAGCCCATCACTAGTTCATTGTCAACAGCCTTACATAGCTGAAAGCCAGCTCGTAATCAAGATGCTTAGCAACCACAGTTTGAGGTGTGGCAAGACGGTATATGACCAAACCCGCAGACCAAGCTTGTGTCTTTCCAATTGCTACAGGTAAAGTCCTTCCTGGTGTGGCGGCTCTGAGCAACGTGTAATGGAATGGCATGTAGAACGGATAGGAGCCTCTTCCTTCTGGTGTTCCTGTGCACACACCCTTACAAGCAGGCACAGCAGTGCTTCTATATCCGTACAAGCAGCAGGGAGCAGAACGTAAACTGGAACCAAACCAAAATGGAGAGGTTGTGAGGGCTTTTTGGTGGCATCTGCAGTTTACATGCTGCTGATTTGTTCGCAGTTCCCCCCACTTGAGCAACTGTAGTGTTAAACGGTTATTGTGATTTAGAGTGTACATATTTATATTGCCTTTAAAAAACAACCAAGTTCTCTTAGTATTTGTCACTTTCTCAAAACTAGTTTCTTCATTCAGCTTCCAGTGTTTTTAGCTGCTGTTTTCACTTGATACAGCTTATAGGCAAGGAGAAAATACAGATTTCTGGACCTTGACAGCAATGTTCGCTTCTAAATAAATGTTCATGATGTGAACACAATTGGGGTGTGCATCTCTTTTCCCTCGTGACACATTGCTCCCAGCTCAGTCTTTAAGTTGCTTTGGGTACCATTTTTCTTGTATCTGTTGATTTACCAAATTCATTCTTGGGTTATGAAGTGATTAACAGAGGACATATAAAGCCAGTCAGATTAAGGTAAAAGTTATACCAGTTAGAATCCTGCTTAGCACTTTTTATGACTGGCTATTAAAAACCAATCCAGAAAGAGGCAGTCCTAATGGCTTTTCTGGAAAACACTGAGGTTTTGACTTGGAGTGGTTTCTAGAGGAAAGGTGGTACCGCCATTTCAAAAGTCCCCTTTTTCATAATTATTTGAGTATCAAAACTTAATGGAGCCCACAATAATTTTTCACAAATTCATTACTGGTTATTCCAAACTTAAATTTATTTCAGCAATTTATTTTTTGCAACAGAGAGTCAGAAATCCTTACCAATCACCCAGAAACCTACCAGCCTTAAATGGTTTGATGTTTCAAAACTTCCAGGTAGTGAGGCTTCACAGCCTCCCTAAATAGCTAGTTGTGTTGTAGGCATATGCTGTCCTTCGGACCACACACAAGTCCCTACAACTTTGTGTATGTAGGATCATTAGCACTAATTGTGCTTTACAAATTAAGGGAAACAATGCAGGGGAGGAGAAATGAAAGGGAATGGAGCCTGCATCAAAAGAGCAGGGAATCTTTGCCAAAACCCCATTTTAAGTATTGTATGAAATGGATCTTTTTAGGAGCAGTGATGTGTAGTGCCCCATATCTCCAGTAGAGGGTCTCCTTCCCCAACAGACCAACTTGAACTGGGTGTAAAACAACTCCAGACACTATTAGAACCAGTTAAAATGGTATCATGCCTATGTGAAGTACCCATTACTGTCCCTGGTGAGCAGCTGCAAGCCTCTGAGGTGGCTGCAGCACCTTCCAAAAAGTAGAACCCTCAATTATCCACATTTATTTCACTTCGATACTGCCCAAGAGACTTACAGGACTTTACTGTGAACAATTAAGACATGGAGCTTGTGAAAGATTGTCCCTGGCTAAGTCGTCAAGTAGAGACGGCGGCCAAGGAATTCAAAGAAGTCTGAGATTTGGAAGGACAGCAGTGAAGGAACTAGCAAAGAACATCCAGTGCAAGGGTGTTTCACTTGAGGCCGAGATCATCCTCACTCTTGCGTTAGTGATCCCTGTATGTGGGGTGCGCAAGTTGGACGCGAAGGAAGCTGACGGGGGGGGGGGATCAATGTGTTCAAAATCCATGTGCTGGAGGAGGGCTTTGCTATAATACCCCGGACTGATGAATGAACCGGTGAGACCCAGTACTTGACGAGTGGCAAGACAAAACTGAAGTTGTACTTCGGGCGCATCTTGAGAAGGCAAGTCTCACGGGAGAAGACGATGCTAGAAAAGGTTGAAGGCAAAGGAGGAGGAAAACTAACTCTGCGGCGGCTCGATTTCATAAAGGAAGCCACAGCCTGGAATTTACAGAGCTGAGCAGGGCTGTCAAGGAAAGGACTTTTCTGAGAGCACTAATTCATACATCATAAATCGGAGAGAACGTGACAGCACGTAACGAGAAGTTTTGAGTTATGCAACTTCTTATCTGCCCCCAAAATACCTTCTGGCATCTCATTCAATTTCCAACTATTCTTAGCATTGTGGAGCTTCAGGGATTTAGGGAAACAAATGTAAATGAAATATTGCATATTGGGCAGGTGATGCTGGTTCTCCAGTTGCTAGAAACAAGGAATGGAACGTAGGGGGGCGAGGGTCTTCCTGCTGGATTGACGGATGAGCTTTGGGGTACCCATTGTTCAGCCCGATTAACCTCCAGTTACATTCCTCTGGTGATGGGATGCAAGGAAGGGGATAGGGCAGTAATGGCAGCAGCCAAAGGAAAAGGCGTTATCCCCATTATTTGTAAAGCAGTACTTATCTTTTCTGTTCTTCCCACACACCAGAAGTAACCTTTAGCTCAGTTGTATAACTTGGCTAGAGAAGCTGGCAGAAATGGAGTGGCTTTTAGGAGCTCTTTTTCCTGTGGTGTTTCCTGCATTCTGACATGGTAGCGTGAGCTATTCATGGAAAATAGCAAAGCATCCTTCATCTGGAGGCCCTTGGAGTGTGCCGTGGCTGGGGGAGGGGATGAACATTTGGCAACGGGAATCTGGGATGTCCTGCTTTCTTTCCTTGTTCTTTTCCTGTTCGGCTCAAGTTTTCATGCCTGGCTTTGTTTAGGCAAGAAAACTCAACATGCTTTTGTTCTCCTAGAATTAAGGGGAGATGGTCATTTAGAGCTGAGTGCACTATTTTAAAAAGGATGAAAAGTTCCAAGCTGCATTTCCTTAGTAGCAAAAAACAGTGGGGAAATAAATGCCTTACAGTGTCTGCCCAGTGATGGAGGGGTCCCGGGGCTCACAAGACCCCAGCACAGCGCTTTTCTCACAGGATGGGGCAGAGGGAGGAGGGTGATGTTTCCCAGTAACTCTTGCTCCCTGGAATGGACAGCCAAGACCCAGTGACTTTGTTCCAGGTGGAGATGCAGCAGCTACTTTAATGTTTGGCCTGTGCTTGGGGCCATGGCTAGGGGGTGCTGTCACGATGCCCACCTGCATTTGGAAACTGATCCTTAGCCAGCCTACTAGGCCATTGCACTCAGGCTTGTCTGCCCTGACTGGCAGCACCAGGGTCTCTCCCCAACTGCTGCAGGTGCAACCCACCTAATCTCCATCTCTTCCCATGGGGAAAAGTATTCAGTGAAAACTCACCTAGCATTTTCTGATGCTTACACCTGTACCAAGTGGCCCAAACCAACTCATCTGGAGAGACAACAAGCTATACACTGTCAGCCAGATAATCCTCAGCCATCACAATAAAGAGGAATGCTAAATAAGGTGGACTGAAACAGCTGCTGAAGAGGTGGACCGGTCGCATGTTTTGAATAACCCAGATTTAAGAGGCTGTCATCAAAGGGGCCATTAGATCACTGCAAGGGTCGCAGATGCATACCTGGAAGTTACACCTCAATTCTCAGGTAGGTCGGGGGGGGGTTAGGTATTCTGCAGGTGCTCAGAGGTACTCACCTTTATCACTTCATGTACTGCGCTGCTTTAGCCTTTGGCTTCTCAAAACATGGGGGGGGGGGGGGACGGGACAGTCTAGAATTGTGTTGTGAACGGCCTAGAGTCCTACAGGGCTATTAGTGCGGTGTGCCAGCCTAGTACCGCACTCCATCAGGCATCCGGCCTGTCCTCGGAAGTCGAGCACGCCCGAGGATCGAGCAGGGCTGGTGCAGCAGCATCGCCTCGTTTCGCTAGGGAAGAAGGCGCGGCCAGGTACGAGGCAACCGGGCCGCCCGGAGCCCGCGCAGGTGCGGCTGCAGGCCTGCTTTCCGCGGCACCGGGCTCGCGCGGCCGCGGGCCAGGCGGAGGCTCGGCTCGGCTCCGGCCAGCAGCCCTCCTCGGTCCCCGGGGAGCAGGAGCGAGCGGCAGGGGCCAGGGTCACGCCTCACCCGGCCCGGGAGGCGCCGCACGGCTTGTCCCGGGCCGGCGGGGCTGTCCGGGCGCAGCCCCGCCCGCATGCGGAGCCCCCGGACCGCGCGCCCTCCCGCCGCGGAGCGAGAGGCGCGACGACAATGGCCCCTTGTCCCGCTCCGCGCCCTCCTCCGCCGCGTCCTGGTCAAGCGCCCGCCTGAGTGGCGGGCGGGCCAGCCAACCGCAAGCGCCGCCGGGCCGCGCCGGGCCAGTGAGCGAGCGGCGCGCGGCCCCGGC